TTTTTTTTTTTCTATTTGTCTGAAGAAATTTTTTTTGCTTTTGGATAATGCGGTAAAAAATAGATGTTTAAGGTGAAAGAAAAAAAATTACGTATATTCAGAAATACTTGCGGAATATTTATGTTGGCTCTTAAAAAGCTCAAATTATTTCAAGTAAAACAAAACAGAAAAAAAATGTAAACTAAAAAAAAACAATGATAAAATCTTTTGCTTTAGTTGTCTTTTTTTCGTTCAAAGTAAAAATAACAATAACACAGCAACAACAGAAGTGTTGCAATAATTTATGCTTTGGATTTAAATGTTCAAAAAAAAAAAAAAAAAACCGAAAGAGAAAAAATAAAACAAACAAAAAAAAAATTTTAAGATTTCTAGATTTTTTTCCTTCTGTCTATATAAATCTGTAAAAAAAACTTTTTTTTCTTTTCTTCTGTAAACATAAATAAAAATTACCGAAACTGAAATGTTTTATGTTCAGACGTTGATGGATTAGTGGTTAAGTGCAAAAAAACAATTTACGATGTAACTATCAGTTTAATTTCGTTACATTTTTGTATGCAAGTGCTATCGTTCTGTATCTGTATAACTCATTTGCAGAAATGTTAGTGTTTTCAATAATTGGTCATCATAAAAAATTGATTATTTATCAGCTAAAAGTAATTTTTGTTCACCTTAACAATATGTCTAAATCTTTGTAAATTTTTTTCTGTTTACTGATTTTTTTTTCGTTCAAGTAACTGTAAAAAAAGCAGAAAAGCTATTTAATTCTAAAAAATCAACATACTTTTCTGTGGACGCTTTTGTAGTCTTAATTTACAGTATCCTCTGTACTTGTTTGGCTATAGTGCTGCAAATATCGTTACTGTAATTTCCCTTCGGTACTCTCTTAGGTATTGTGCTGTAGGCGTTATTATAATAATTGAATTAATTCAGCACTCACTGTTAATTGTGTGGATACATCGACTATCTTGAAAATAAGACTTGACTGGAAAAAAAAAGCAGTCAGAATAAATTTAGTAGTATTAGAAAAGTGTACGCATGGTGTACGTAAAAGTGTACGTAACTCGACAAAAGAAACATGAAAAGGGAAAAAAGAGAACCAAGAGAGAATTGCCAAAAAATTTACTGATGCAATCAACAAGTGCTTAGGAGGCAAATAAAAATCAACAAAGAAAAGAAAAAATAAGAAAGGAAGGAGTAAAAAAGCGCTTTTTTATGGCGACAAAAAAAAATCGTCACTTTTCTGTTAAGTTGTCAAAGTTTTATGGGATTAATCTTTCTAAATAATCCAGATAAAAATCCAATTTTTTTTACCTGCACTTTAGCTCAATCTTTTTTTTATATAAACGATATCTGTTTTGTCATTTATTTTAGAGAGAACGAAAAATGAAAAAGTAAAAAGAAAAAAAAAAGAAAAGAAAACTACCATTTTCTTAGTGTTGTTGTTTTATGCAGTTGTCAGTTGAAAACGTTTCGTTTACTTACATATGTATGCAGAATGCAAAACGACAGCAGTAATTTTGCTATTTTATTCATCGATTTACCTTAACTGTTTTTTTTTTTTTTTTGTTTAAGATTAACAGTTTTTCGCGTGTTTCTTTTGTCATTTATAAATCTGCGTTTCTCTCATTACTTTGATTTATCATAGGTTTCTAAAAACGTTTTTTGTAATGCGTTTTTTGGTTCATCTATTTAGTGAGCAATGCGGTAAATTTGTATTCAACGACCAAAATGCATATAAAATGACCACCGTTGCTCCTCTTTACTCTTTGGTTGTCGATGACCAGTAGCGTAAACCGTAAATGAAAAATAACTCGGTTTAAGAGTATCGGTTTTAATTTCTCCGACTAAACTTCACGCTCTTTCGTTAAAAATTGAATTTTTCTCCTGATATCTGTATAGCATTACACTGCCAAGCAATGAAACATTATCAATTTATTTTTGAGTATCAACTGATGAGTAAATTGTATTTCACAGTGGTTCATATACCAACAAAATGAAAAAGATATTTAAGATTGCTTTTCTTAAGTTTCAAAAACAAAATTCCATTAAATTTTCTGCATTTGTGCTTTAAAGCACTGTCAGCAAACTTAATATCTCTCTTCTGCCTATTTAGATCTATGAGACCGTAGCAAAGAAACAACTGATACTTAAAAGGTAAAAATTAGCGAAATAGGCGTAATACAATGCAAAAAAATTTGGGTAGCTTAAAACTTTCTAGATTTGATAACAGCGTCAAATTTTGGGCTTCTAACTGATCAAAACTAACCAACTCAATCTTTCTTTCTTCTTTTTTTTTTCTTGTCGAATGCCAACTTAACAGAATCTGGAAAGATTTGCAGTGAAAAAGTTGCAGCTGAAAAGCAGTACTTAGGCTTTCTGCTAATCTTTCGAGCTGTTGTAAAACATTTTAACTACTAAAGTGCAAATTTTTGCATATAAGAATATAATCCTATTATCAATTTCTGTCAAGTTTTTTATTAATAAAAATAATGTGGAATAAAAAAAGGAGAAAAACGCCATCTTGGTCAAATTTTACAGGTTAAAATTTGAAGTAAAATTTAGTCCATGAAAGAAAAACACTTCCTCAAAAGTTGAAAGTAACAAAAAAAATAGAGAGAGAAAAATATAGTTTATTAGAAAAAAGTAATTATTACTCTAAATAAATAAACAAAAAAAAAACAGAAATTTATAAAACAACTATACTTTTTGTCTTTATAATTACATTTTTTTTTATTCTGCAGAAGGAGAAATGCGTTTTCTGCTTGTCTAATAATTGAAAGAAAAAACCCTCAAAAACACAGTTAAGTGAAAATTGCAATTTAAGCAGCAAACAATTTGTTAGGAATGTAATCGTAGAGCGAATATTGCGTTGTTATCACTGACTTATCAATATTATTGCGGAAAATGATTGTTTACGTACTCGTGGCGAAGTTTTACAGTTATGGTTAATTTGCCTCAACTGTAGCCGTTTAATCGGCAGATAATTAATGTATTACTTTTCGGTAATACCTAAATTACTTTAAAGCTATATTATTTTCTTATTTACTAACAATTTACTACTATTTTTGACGTTACTGCTGCTGTTGCTATTGTTTACAAGGAAATTTATCTGTATTGATAATAGGATGATGAAGGCAGCAGAAGTGTTGCCTAATATTATTGAAAGGGAAGCCGAACAATGCTGGAAGATGTTGAGACAGGTTTGATGTAGAAGAAGGGACAAGAAAGAATAGGAAGGAAGAAGAAAGAAGAGGAAGGAAGAAGAAAGAAGAAGGAAGAAAGGTAAACAAGAATAAGAAGATTAAGAAGTACAAGAAGAGGAGAAAGAAAAATGAGAAGAAATACCGAAACAAAAAAGAGTTGAAAGAGTCGATCATCCAGAACACTTGTTTTAACAACAAATGTTTCTTGGACGTGCATAGTTGGGATTGAGTTGCTGTGTCAATGCAGCACAAAAGTTATCAATCTAATTTTACCATTTTCTTACCGACCACTACCAACACCAACAACATATCGCAACTAGCGATACTACCAGTACCAATATCATCATCCTTATATCCCAGCATCATTATTACCATCGGCATCAGTACCAACGACAGCAACAACAGCAACAACAGCGACGACAAAAATACTACAACCAAAGCATCATCATCAGCATTGTCAGCAGCAACAGCAACAGCAACAGCAACAGCAACAGCAACAGCAACAGCAGCAACAACAGCAATAGCAATAGCAGCATCATCACCATTATTAACATCCTCACTAATTCCATCCTCAACCAATAGCAATCAAATAATTCTTTTCTCTTTCTTTTTTTTACAAGTAGTAGTTGTTCTATAATATTGTTATTCAAAAAAAAAAAAAAAAAAAAAAAA